CGCCGCCGCGTAGAAGTCGATGGACACCTGAGCAGCGGGGGCCGGCGCAGGCTCCCGGCGCCCCTGGTCGCGCGGGCGCGGGAGGGGCGGCGGGGGCCGAAGCGGGGCAAGCTCGGGCCGAGAAGCTGCAGACGACTGCAATCAGCGGGCGCGATGGGGATAAGAAGAAGGAGGACGAGGAGGAGGAGGAGGAGGAGGAGGAGGAGGAGGAGGAGGAGGAGGAGGAGGAGGAGGGGACGAGGAGGAGGAGGGAGGAGGAGGAGGAGGGAGGAGGAGGAGGAGAGGAGGCCAACGAGGACGACGGCCACGACGACGCCCACGACGACGGCCACGGCGGCGAAGCGGCGGCCTTCTGGCGCCGTCGGGAGCGGCCCGGGCCCGCGCGGAGGCGACGAGGCGCCGCGCGGCGGCGGCGAGGCGCCGCGCGGCGGCGAGGTCGCGCGCACGCTGGGCGGGCTCGCTCTCTAGGAGGAGGAGAGAGGAGGAGGAGGAGGAGGAGGGAGGAGGAGGAGGAGGAGGAGGAGGAGGATGGAGGAGGAGGAGGAGGTAGGAGGAGGAGGAGGAGGAGGAGGAGGGGGAGGGGCGCGAAGCCTCGGAGGGCAGAATTTGGACGCCCGAAATGGGCACGGAAAGAAGGGGTACCATGCCCAACAGCAAATGTGGTCCCAAGCCAACAGCGGCCGCTGTTGGGCAGGCGGCCTTCTGTCTCGAGTGGGCACAGGCCGCGGCGGCCTGGACAGCGAGTCCTGCTCAAAAATGAAAAGGAACTGCTGTTGGGCATTGTACCCATTCTTTCTGTACCCATTTCGGGCGTCCAGACACAAGGTGGTCTGGGCGGACGGCCCCCCAGCGTGCTGCCGGTGAGCAACCGACTGGGCAACATTTTTTAGTCGTGGCGCCGGCGATCGCACGGCGAGGACGTTCCTCCTCCTAGGTTTTTGCAAGCCGGGTGGGCGGGAACCACCGTCCCTGGGATCAGGAGCTCTAGGAGTCCCCATGGACACCCTTGGAAGAGTCCCCCCAGTCCTGCCGCGCCTCCCAGGGCGCCTTGCCGTGCTGTGCCAGCAAGCTCGAAGTGATCAGAGAAATGGTCGGAGAGGCGCAGGACAACCCCAAAGCAGCGCAAGACGGCTTCAAGACGGCCCAGGAGGCCCCCAAGACGGCCCAGGAGGCCCCAATGACGCCCCAAGAGGCCTTCAGGGGAGCCCCAAGAGGCAAACATCGCTCCATTCCCTTCATGAAAACGTGCGCGTTTAACATCTTCGAGTTTTGTGTCGTAGTAGCGTCCAAAACGACCCAAGAAACCTGCGAGATCGCCCCAAGGCAAGCCAAGAGGCCCCCAAGAGGGCTTCAAACTGGGCCAAAAGGACCCCAAGACCGCCTCACGACGGCCCGAAAGAAGCTCACGAGGCACCCAAAGGCTCCCATGAAGCCGATCGGCAAAAGAATGACTAAAAAAACGCTAAGTTGCGTCTGCCCAGGCCGGTTGTTTCCTCCAGGGGACGCTCGTCAGGCGGGCCGTCGCGGGTTCCGGACCGCGGACTTGCGGGAAAGGCGCCTCCAGGCCTCCCGGAGGGAGGGGAAGGGGAAGGGAGGAGGAAGGAGGGGGAGGAGGGAGGGAGTAGGGAGGGGGGAGGGAGGAGGAGGGAGGAGGGAGGGAGGGAGGAAGGGAGGAGGAGGAAGGGGAAGGAGGAGGGAGGGAGGGGAGGAGGGATGGAGGAGGATAACAAAACAGAACAAAACGTCCCTGGGCGGCCGAATCCATGAACCACATAACGACAGAAAAATTGCCCTTGAGTGGCCTGCGTGGGCAGCTTCACTCGGCCTCCAACTACGCAGGGGAGGGAGGGAGGGAGGGAGGGAGGGAGGGAGGGAGGGAGGGAAGGAGGGAGGGAGGGGGGGATGAGGAGGAGGAGGGGGAGGAGGAGGAGGAGGAGGAGGAGGAGGAGGAGGAGGAGGAGGAGGAGGAGGAGGAGGAAGCAGGGATCTTTTGACCTCCACGGGCCCACCGCATAGTGCAAGCAACTGGCAGTGCGGGACCTGCCAGCTCTGAGAAATAGGCGACCTCGCCATACCTCGCCTCGGCGAGAGCCGCTATGGGGAGGGGGCTTCGCGAGTTCCTTTCGGAGCGCCCACTATGGCCCCCTCCCCGCACGGATCGACCCTCGGCTCGGACTCTCACTGTCTGGCAGACCCGCCAGAGACAGTGCACAAGAAAAATACGGCCGTGCAGAGAAGCTAAACAAACTCTGCGGCGGCGAGCACCAGAGCGACGGGTGTGCCAGGGCGCAAGCGCGAGACTTGGCCCAGAGACCCGACGCAGAGTGGCCCCTCACAGGCACGCTCGAACCAAGGAGAACGAGCTACACCTGGACAAGGGCCCAAACCAACATCACAACAGCACAAACCATTGACGAGGACCGCCGACCACACGCCTAAGGCGTGAGCGGCTGGGCAGCATCGGCTGTACACGAAACTGCCCCTTGTCCTCGCGGCTGGGCGACGGTCAAGGGTGTAGTTGCACACCAAGCCGCATCAACATCACGCCTCCGCCCCACGAGAGCTGGGGGGGGGAGGGGTGGGGAAGAGCAGCAGTCGGGGCGGACTGGCTTTCCAGAACCGCCCCCGTGCCCACGAGATCCACGTGGGCTGCCCCTGCGCAACTGTCACCGTGGAGGCCCACACGAGCACCACAGCCGTGCAACAGGGACAACCACAAACCAAAAGAGATAAAAAAGAGGGGGAGAAGGCGACGTCGGGCTGACGGAACCCCAGAGCTCGGGTTCTACGGCTGGCTGCGTAGTTAACCAGCACCGTCAACCCGAACGCGCGCCCAGCCCCCCGAAAAGACCCCGGCGGAGGGCCAGGGCGGAACAAAAGAGATGCCTGGGACTGAGCAGCAGTCGGGGTGGACTGGCACCCCAATCCACCCCCGTGCCCGAAGCCCAAGGGGTGAGCCAAACAGCACACTGCAGTGAAAAGGACAGCCAGCCTCTCCAGGCTGGCGGAACCCTAAAGCTGGGGTACCAAGGCTGGCTGCGAGACACCAGCACCGCCAACATGCAAGAGACGAAACCCCCAGATCGAACCTGCAAGGGGCCGAAGCAACGAGATATCAGTTCCGAGATGTATGTGCAACGCTCCTTCCCCCTAAGGTGGGGTGCCTGATGCACGTGCAGGGCGCGCACGCACACACGCGCACAACAAAGTGATGTTCCCTAGGCGACGCCAGGACGATTCGGCAATGTCAACCCCTGGTGTAGGAAACGCCAGGACGATGGGCAAGCCTCATCCCTGGTGTGGGCCTGTTTGGACTATAGCAAAGCAAAAAAAGAAATGCCGGAACCACAAGATAAAATAGTTAGTCTGAGTCTCCGCTCCTCATGTCACCTTCTGGGATCTCGTCCCACAGAGAGCGCTGGGAAGCTGGAGGGGCAGCAACAGGCTCAGCCTGCGCTGCCTGGGCGAGCACGGCCTGTTCCTCAGGAGCTGGCTGCCCCTGCTCGCAAGGGGATTCCACCACCTCCAAGCGATCGAAACAAGCCATGCGTTGGTCAGTGTACTTTGACGCCTCTCTTTCTGGCGGCATGCTGGGGATGCTGGCCCTTTCCAAGATAACCCCAGCCGTAAAAAACAGCACGCGTGGGTGGCGGCGTGCAGCGCTCGGCCAGCCCTCGGACCGATCCTCCCCAGGCATGGCATTTACAACGCAAGCATATGAAGAAGACAGAACTGTCCGAGCACGGGAAAGCCACCGTGCGATGGCCTAGTGTTGCTGGCGAGCAGCATGTAGCTTAGAGAAATTGTCGCAGTGACCTGGAGGTGGCGCTTCACTCGACCGCCTGCCGCGAATACACACAGCGCACCTCCAGATCCCAGACCATCTCTCCCACCTGTGATGCTCCTGATGGGCAGCAGAGGCGCTCTGCGCAGGCGGGGAGTATGGAGCCTCTAACGGCAACTTCGGTCACAGCGGCAGCAAGTTCGCTGCCAAGATGCAGACAGCACGAGCACAATCCGCGAGATCAGAGACGTCTCTCATCCCTCCCGCGCCCGACGAGTGGAGCTGAAGCCCGTGCTTCGCCCCCGCGTCGGCGTCAGAATTGCCTTTGCGACGGAAACGCTCGTCAGCCGAAATGCCTGCTTCAGGAGGAGGAGGAGGAAGAGGAGGACGAGGAGGAGGAGGAGGACGAGAAGGAGGAGGAGGAGGAGGAGGAGGAGGAGGAGGAGGAGGAGGAGGAGGAGGAGGAGGAGGAGGAGGAGGAGGGAGGAGGAGGGAGGGAGGGAGGGAGGAGGGAGGGGGGAGGGAGGGAGGGAGGGAGGGAGGGAGGTAGGAGGAGGAGGAGGAGGACGAGGAGGAGGAGGAGGAGGAGGAGGAGGGAGGAGGAGATAAGATAAGATAAGACCAATCACGAAGTGATATCCAATTCCAGAGTCTCTTATTGGTGTGCAAGCACGAGCATGACACACGCACACGCGCACGCACACACACAAGCGAGACAATGCAAGCAAGCCAACAACTCCAAGACACATGACTCCACTGCCTGTCGGACATAGGCTAAACGGAGGCGAATCAGACTCGATGCGGCCCTACCAGTCAACAGAAAGGTCAACGGGCAACCCTGCAAGCCATAGTTGCTCCTGCACCTATGGGTCCAAAACAGAATCGTCTTTTCCAACAACCATCTCGCATAATAGAACGGGCAGCTCGTCAAGGCCCCATCCAGAAGTGTATAGCATGGCCCGAACAAAATGCTGGGCGAGAATCGCACTGCAATCAACATTACCATCAGAGAAACGTGAGGCAATAACACAATTGCAATACACAGCGTGTGACCAACACCATGTGTGACATGGGAGGAACAACAACGATTGCAAAGACCAAATGCCCACTGCAGACGTGGCTATTGTTGCTTACAGTTCGCTGGATCGTCCGACGGCGGCGCGATGCCAGGGATCGTCCTCCCAGATCCGTGCGAGCCTGCAGGAACGCTGCCAGCTGAGTCGATCTGCGACCCCGTCGTGCTGCCTGCCCAGCCCGCCACAGCGGCCAGCGGATGGGCAGTCATCCCCCGTAGGGGCCCTTCGGCCGCGCCCTCGGCGCCCGCAGCTGGTCCGCCCAGCGGCACAGCAACCGAGCCGAAGCGGCCGCCCTGCATGGCCCGCAGCACGTCCGTCGCCGTCGACTCCTTTTCCTTCTCGTCCTCCGCCGCCTGCTCGGCCGCGATGGCCTCTGCCCGGCTCTCGGCGACCACCTCTGCGAGCTCCCCGCGAAGGGCACGGACCATGTCGGCGAGGCTGGGCTCCGCCGCGCCCCCCGTCGCCGCCGTGGGCTGGGGCGCGTCGTCAGGCGGTCCCTCCACACGCTCGGCCTGGGACTCACGCTCGATGCCGAGGTCGGCCGCCTCGGAGCCGGTGGCATCCTCCGCAGCGACGTCCGGCGAGGCCGCGGGCGCCAGAGCTGCGGCCAGGGCGGCCCCCAAGCGCGTGGGGGCGCCTCCACGATGGCCGCGCAGCTCGGCGAATGCCGCCAGGAGCCGCTCGACCGTGCGGCACTCGGCGCGGCGATACTGCGCCCGCCGAGCCGCGGCCGACCGGTTGGGGCGACGCCGCCTCGGCTCCTCCATCACGGCCCACGGAGGGATGGAAGGCACGCGGCGGGAGGAGAGAGGGCGGCGCGGGGGGGCGCCGGTGGCGCTGGCTCGCGCCGAGCCCGCAGGGCTCGGGCCGAGCTGGCAGCTTGGAGGAGGGAGGAGGAGGAGGAGGAGGAGGGAGGGAGGGAGGGAGGGAGGGAAGGAGGGAGGAAGGGAGGAGGAGGAGGGAGGGAGGGAGGAGGAGAAGGAGCAGGAAGGACCACTGTAAACCCAATACGCATCAACGATATTGCTATAAACCCTCTCTCCAAATTCTCTCTTCGCAACCGCCTGCAAAGGTTCATTTTCATTAGGGGCAGTGCCCCATTTAAAGGCCGTGGTTTGAAAATCCGCAATTGTGCCATAACCCCATTCCTGGGACTTCAACGCCGCGAATCACCTCTACTGTCGTGCCATGACACCATCAACGTGACTCCTGCGCCCTGACGTTCTGGCATCGCGCCAACACTTCATTTCTGGGACGTTAGCCATGGACACCCATGATACAGTTGCGAACTCTCAAGACGAATCAGCGCGGTTCTACGACGAGAACCACACTTTGAAAAGGAACCGCCCTCACTCCGTGAAGCCCTTGCTAACTTTAAAGGCGAATGTGCGCGGCGCTGAGGCGAGAGCCACATTTTGAAAGCGGGCCGCCTTCCATCCGTGAAGCCCTTGCAAACTTCAAGACGAATGTGCGCGGCGCTACAGAGAGAACCGCATGTTGAAAACGGGCCGCCATTCATCGGTGAAACTCTGACAAACCTTTAAGCTTCAAGAATATACTTGGCGAAGAAATCTGAAGCGAAACGCCCAGCCTTCCCTTCCGACTGGCCTCAGGGTGAGACAGGGAGGAATTATTCATAAGGGAGAGGGATGGAGGAAAGAGCGAGGAGGGCGAGGAGGAGGAGGGAGGAGGGAGGTGCAAGAAGGAGAGAGGGGGAGGAGGAAGGGAGGAGGGAGGACGGAGGATGGGTGGAGGAGGAGGGGGAGAAGGAGGTGGAGGGAGGGGGAGGAGGGAGGGAGGGAGGAGGAGGAGTAGCAGGAGCAGGAGCAGGAGGAGGAGGAGGAGGAGGAGGAGGAGGAGGAGGCAGGAGGAGGAGGAGGAGGAGGAGGAGGAGGAGTGGTTCAGGAGGGTGTGAAGGAAGGACTGGTTTTCTCTAGTCCTGGGGGGTAGGAGTAGGGGGGGAGAGAGGGAGGGCGGGACGAGGGACGAGTGAGGAGGGAGGTGGAGGAGGGAGGAGGGTGACATCATCTGCATTGGTGTCCCCAGGGTCGCCCGCTTCAGGGCGGCGCCCAGGCCCGCCCGGCCCGGCGGTGAAGCACCAGCCAGGGCAGGCCGCTGGGCGGCCCGGCCTCGTCTGCGGAGGGGGCGGGCGCAGTTCTCTCCCCCGCTGCAGCCTGGAAGGGCCATTTCATCGCACCTCTGATTCAGGGAAAGGTGCCCCTAGAAGGAGCATCTCGTGGCAGTTACGTGCGTGCATCTGTGTGTATATATATATGTGTGTATATGCATGTATGGATGTACGTGCTCGCGTATATGTATGGATGACATATACGCGTACGCACACACACACACATATATATATATATATATATGTATATATATATATGTATGGTAGAGCGCGCGCGTGGGGCCCGACAGACTAAAAGGGGGGCCCCAGCTTGAAGCTACCCCCCTCCCCCCTTCCTTGCTAAAGGGGGGGGGGGCTTCGGAAAGCCATATCACCCCCCCTAGCTGGATGTGTTCGTGGTTCGGAGAGGGGTGGGGTGGGGGGGGATGTGGCTTCCAAGTGTACCGCCCCCTTCCCTCCCATTAATTTGTAGGCCGGGGTGGTGTGAGCCACCCCCCCTCTTGAGAAAAAGGGGGGGGAGGGGCACGGGCCCGGGCGGGGGGGGGGGGGGCTCCGAGAAGCCTACCCCCCCCCTCTTCTTTGGCCGGGAAAAGGGGGGGGGGGGGGGGTTGGTGGGGGGGGGGCTTCCAAGAGCCTATTCTCAATACCCCCCCCTCCCTCCTTTTAATGGAGCTGGGGTGAGCCACCCCCTCCCTTTGAAAGGATGGGGGGGCTTTGGAAGTCCCCTCCCCCCCTCCCTCCCTTGGTGCAAAAGGGGGGGGGGGCTTGAAGCCCCCCCCCTTCCTCCCTTTGGCCGCCCAGCTCCCGGAGCCATCGCTCTCCCTTTCGCCTCCATTTATTCCCGCCGCTCTCCCTCCTCCTCTTCTTCCTTTTGCCTCCTCTTCCTCGTCCTCCTCATCCTCCTCATAGTCATCATCATCATCATCATCATCATCATCATCATCATCATCATCATCATCATCATCATCATCAGCATCAGCATCAGCATCATCATCATCATCATCATCATCATCATCATCATCATCATCATATTCATCATCATAATCATCTATTCATCATCATCATTCATTCATCATCATCATAACATCATAATCATTCATAGTCTCCCCCGCGGGGTCCTTCCGTTCCGGCATCCTCCTCCTTACCACTCCTCGGTTTTCTCCCCCTCCTTCATTTTTTCCTCTCCTCCTCCCCTCCTGCTCCTCCTTTGTGTGTGCCTCATCCTCTCCTCCTCCTCCTCCTTCATCATCCTCCACATCATAATCATCCATCATCATTCATCATCATCATTCATACATCATTTCCTCATATCATCATCTCTTCATCGCAGGCTCTACCCTTCGATTCCTCGTGAGCTCCTGGCCATTCGTTTCCCCTCCTCCTCCCTCCCTTCCTCCTCCTCATCATCCTGCCTTCATCCCTCCTCCTCCTTTCTCCCTCCCCCCTCTTACCTCCTCTACTCCTCCTCCTCCCTCTTCTCCTCCGCCTCCTCCTCTCCTCTCTCCTCCTCCTCCTCCTCCTCCTCCTCCTCCTCCTCCCCTCCGCCTCCCCCATCCTCCGCCTCCTCCTCCCCCAGCTGGCCGCCGTCTTACACGAACACTGCCAAACCCGACGGGCTGGCGTTTTCCGAATTACACTTCGTGCAACTTTCGGGGGGGATCGTATTTTTCCCAACCCTCCTTGGTTGGGCATTCGTTTTGAATAGAGCAGTGTGGTCTCCACTTCCTCCTTCCCGTCCCGTCTCCCTCTTGCCTCCTCCTGTCTTGCTTGCGGGGGGCTGCGATCTGTGAAACTGTCGCCACTTTCGAGGCTTGCTGGGGGGCCCAGCACAGTGACGCCACGGGCGGACCCAAATTAGACCTCGCCATTCCTGGGGGGCTGCGATCTGTGAAACTGTCGCCACTTTCGAGGCCTGCTGGGGGGCCCAGCACAGTGACGCCACGGGCGGACCCAAATTAGACCTCGCCATCCCTGGGGGGCTGCGATCTGTGAAACTGTCGCCACTTTCGAGGCCTGCTGGGGGGCCCAGCACAGTGACGCCACGGCGGACCCAAATTAGACCTCGCCATCCCTGGGGGGCTGCGATCTGTGAAACTGTCGCCACTTTCGAGGCCTGCTGGGGGGCCCAGCACAGTGACGCCACGGCGGACCCAAATTAGACCTCGCCATCCCTGGGGGGCTGCGATCTGTGAAACTGTCGCCACTTTCGAGGCCTGCTGGGGGGCCCAGCACAGTGACGCCACGGGCGGACCCAAATTAGACCTCGCCATCCCTGGGGGGCTGCGATCTGTGAAACTGTCGCCACTTTCGAGGCCTGCTGGGGGGCCCAGCACAGTGACGCCACGGGCGGACCCAAATTAGACCTCGCCATCCCTGGGGGGCTGCGATCTGTGAAACTGTCGCCACTTTCGAGGCCTGCTGGGGGGCCCAGCACAGTGACGCCACGGGCGGATTCAAATTAGACCTCGCCATCCCTGGGGGGCTGCGATCTGTGAAACTGTCGCCACTTTCGAGGCCTGCTGGGGGGCCCAGCACAGTGACGCCACGCGCGGACCCAAATTAGACCTCGCCATCCCTGGGGGGCTGCGATCTGAGATCCCCGCTTTCGAAGTGGCCAGGGTTGCTCAGGGATTGCAACTAATCAGCTTTATCTAGTCCTTGTCCTGAAGCCAGTTTCCTGCGAGTCTCCCGAATTCCGTCTGCAGACATATGTAACCCTCGCTCCGTCATCGCCCCCCTTATAAAGTGTCCTAAACTATTTGCGCCCCGCGTTTGCGCAGGGGTTGGGTACGTCGCCAGGGTAATTTTTCGTTCCCGGGCGTTGGCACGGGACGAGTTGAATGATACACTTGCGTTGCAATCGATTGCAATCCATTGGATTGCAAACGATTCGATTGCAATCCATTGGATTGCAATCGATTGGATTGCAATTCGGTTGAATTGCAATCGATTCAATCGATTGGATTGCAGGGGAGGGACAGGACGGAAGGGAGGGAGGGGAGGAGAGGGAGGGGAGGGAGGAGATGGAACGAAGGGTGTGGAGGGAGGGGAGGGAGCGGAGGGAGGTGGGGAGGGGGATTGCAGTGGAATGGAGTGCAATCGATTGCAAGCGATTCGATTGGGATTTTCGATCGTCGATCGTTGATCGTCGATCGTCCATCCTCGATCGTGGATTGTTCATTTTGGATCGTCGGCGAAAGGGAGGGCGGAGGCTCCGGGGGCTGGGCGGCCAAAGGGGGCAAGGGGGGGGGGCAAGCTTCCAAGCCCCCCCCCCCTTTGGCACAAAGGGGGGGAGGGGGGTGGGAGCTTCCAGCAGGGCGGCTCCAAGGGAGGGGGGCGGTAGCTTAAGCACCCCCCTCCCTTTGGGGGGTAGGGGGGGGTAGCTTCCGGGGCGGCCAAAGGGGGGTGGGGGGTGGGTAGCTTCCAAGCACCCCCCCCCCTTTGCACGAAAGGGGGGGAGGGGGGGGGTAGCTTCCAGCAGGGCGGCGCCAAGGGAGGGGGGGGTAGCTTAAGCACCCCCCCCCTTTGGAAAGGGGGGGGGGGGGGTAGCTTCCGGGGAGGGCCCAAGGGGGGAGGGGGGGGGGGTAGCTGTAAGCCCCCCCCCCCCTTGCAAAAAAAAGGGGGGGGTGCTTCCAACAA